AAAAAAAAAAAAGAATTGATTCATGAACAGTTAAGCTTAGTATTCTAGAACCTCGAACATATTTATGCAGTTTAAATAGCTGTCTGAGGGCCGGGGAGATGGCTCAGTGGAATAAACACTTCACTGGCAAATGCAAGGGTCTGAGTTCAATCCCTGGTTCCATCAAAAAATAAATAAATAAATAGTTGTCTGAAGTTTTTTTTTTTGTTTGTTTGTTTGTTTTGTGGAACCAGGGATTGAACTTGGGGAAGCGCTTATTCTACTGAGCCCTCTCCCCAACCCCTTGAAGAATTTTTTTTTTGAGTTGAATATTTCAATAGACACTCAAAGTTTCACAATCAAATCCTTTTTTAGCTTTTTTTTCTGTCACATAGTAAACAGTAAAATGATTACATTGGGCTATCACACTTGAACAATGAAGTGATTAATATGATTCTGTGATTGTACAAAAGTATTTACAGAAGAATGTTTAATAAAAGAAGTACAGCACATGGTATATCTCAAGTATAGTAAAGTTCTGTTTACATGTTAGTGAAAATCTAGGTCACTTAAAGCTAGTGAAGGGCTGGGGAGATAGCTCTGGAATAAGTGCTTGCCTGGTAAACTCAAGGGCCTGAGTTCAATCCCTGGTACCACCAAAAAAAAAAAAAAAAAAAAAAAGCTAGTGAAAACCATTTCTTAGGGTAATGTAATTATAGTGAAACTTAAACATTTAAATTTTATGATCAAAAGGTGGTTAATCAGTAATGTCTTAGGAGTTTATTTTATTACAACCTAAATAATAAGCCACTGCCATGCTTTCTTTGGCTCTACATGTACTGCTAATAACAAGCAACTGTCATGCTCCGTTCAGCAGCACATATACTCATAATAGGCAACTGTCTTTCCCATGAGAAGGGGGAAACATGGACATAATATTCATTTACATTGTTGGACGAGTGGTATTCAGGTCATTGTAATCCCCACAGGTTAGGACACATTCAGAACATAGTTTTCAGGGTTTTTTTTTTTTTTTTCTTTTTGAGATAAGGTTTTATAATTCAGGCTGACTTTGAACTCAGGTAGCCCAGGCTGTAGGTTGGTTTCAAACTCATAGCAGTCTTCCTTCTACCTCTTAAGCTCTGAAATTATCAGCAAGCCTAGCTCTAGGTTTTGTATTTAAGAATATGATTGGTAGGGCCAGCCAAATAGCTCAGTAGATTAAAGCACCTGCAAGCAGGCACAGGGGCCAGGGGTTTGATCCCCCAGTGTGCTGTGCCAGTCCCACCCCCGGGGCATGCTGAGATGGCAATTGAGAATGGGTATGGTGGTGTGCACCTGTAATCCCAGCTCTTAGGAGGATGTAAACAGGCAGATCACTGAGTCCGTGCTTCCTTCCTTCTGTTCTTCTCTTTTTAATTTTATAATTTTTTTGACACAAGGTCTCACTAAGTTGCCAACACTGGCCTTGAACTTTTGATCCTCTTGCCTCAGCCTCTCAAGTAGCCAAGATTACACGTATGTGTCACTATGCCCACCAACTCAACAATTATTCTTTTAATATCATTAAATATCTAGTCACGGTTCAAATTTTCAATTTTTTCTTTTTTCTATTTTAAGAAATATTTCTTTTTTCTTTTTTCTATTTATTTGCAGTTTTAAAAAAATTACCATCCAGTGCTTTCTTCAGCAGCTCGTGTACTGAAATTGGAACAATACAGGGAATATTACCATGGCTTTTACTCAAGGTTGACACAAATTCATGAAGAGTTCCATATTTTAAAAAAATGAAGGGGGCTGTGGAGATAGCTCAGTAGAATAAGCGCTTGCCTGGCAAGTGCAAGGGCCTGAGTGCAATCTCCAGTTCCAGAAAAAAAAGAAAAAAAATAAAATCCACGGAAGCATGATGGCGCACACCTGTAGTCCCAACACTCAAGAGGTTGAGACAGGAGGATCTCTGTGAATTCAAGACCAACCCAGGGCTACAAAAGTGAGCACAAGGCCAGTCCAGACTGTCTCAAAAAAATAAATCCAGATAAGCCTGTACAGTATAGTTGGTTGATCTCTTTTAAATTTGTTTAGTCTGTTTTCCTGCAATGTCTCTTTTTTTGTTCTTATATTTCATTTGTTGAAAAAACTTGACTTATTTGTTCCATGGTTTCCCACAACCTGTGTTAGGCTGGCTATACCCTAGGGCTGGCCATACCCCTGTGGTGTCATTTACCACATTCCTCAGGCCCTTGCTTTCCTGTGAATGGAAGATCCAGTTACCATTCAGACACAGATGGTACTTTACTTTCAGGTACCTCTTAAGACCTTCTCTTGGGTTCTGTGTTTTCTGATTCTGAGAGCAGTATCCAAACTGCATGTCTTTCTCCTTTCTCTTATCACCTTTGTCCTGGCTTCAGTTCTCCTTTCCATAAATCATGAGATGACTAGGTGGGGTGGTACATACCAGTAATCCCACTGTTTGGATGAGCTGAGTCAGGACTGACCATAGTGAGTTCAAGGACAACCTGAACTACATAGCAAGACCCTATCTCAAACAAAGCCAGGAGAAAAATGGGATGAATCAGTCATATGATATGAACTACCTCAAGTTAAATAAGAATTTTTTTTTTTTTTTTTTTTGTATTTTTTTAGGGAAGGGTTTACACGGTGTTGGGGGTCTCACTACTAGATTGGACTTGTAGTGATCCACCTGTTTATAGCCTCCCAAGAGCTGGGATTACAGGCACATGCCACCATGCTCAGTCTCAGCATGCCCCAGGGGTGGGGACGGCATGGCAGGGCTGGGGATTAAGCCCAGGCCCCTGTGCATGCTTGCAGG